AAATGGGTCCGTTGTTATTGTGCATCCATGGGTAAAGATAAACGCATGTAGTGCTGAACACGTAACATGAACATGCCGGGCGGCGCGGTCCCGTTGGTTAGATGCGCGTTCATAATGCAGAGGGAAATAACTCTCAGAATAACGTTATTAGCTAATGTTTACAACTTGAGGAACGAATGTTTTTAATAAGGGCTATACAAGTGTTCATACTGGGTAGTTTATTTAGTTTAAAAAACATTATCCAACGAGTTACAGACCACTCTTTCCAATGTAAGTCAATGGGAAAAAGTGTTTCCGGGCCCAGCAACCTAAAGGAAGTGTAGTACCGCCGTTTGGCCACCACGAATATTCTCATCAGACTCCGGCACACTTCCTGGGGGCTTGCCCAAAACGCCTCGTTGGAGATACATCATTGTCCATTGTTTACTTCCTGGGTATTGTGACGTAGGAATGGCCAGTAGCCACACCCAGAGCTATGACGCGATACGGTCATGCGTTACCCGGAACCAAATGGACCAATCCGTGGAGCCGTTACGTTACGTCCGCGGAGCCGTTACCTTAAGCCCCTGCTGATTGGTCCAAATTGACCAATCCACAGACTTCCTCACACACACACTCAGTGCAGGCAGCTCTGCTGATTTCTCCTCCCTGGCTGCAGGCTCATAACAGACAGTTGGGATCGTGGCGAAATTCTCTCTGCAGACCCATTCTCACAGCGTTTATCAACCTTTTTCTTACTCAATATCAAGCCACACTTATTGTTTTTACTACGGCTGTGACTTTGTGTGTGCTCAGGATGAGTTTGGCTGTGTTTCGCTGTGTATCACTAAACAAGGAAACCACACCTTCACGGAGCTCAGCGCGATTCACAACGTCCCGACCAATCAGAGCACACTGTGCTCACAGGGAGGGTGGGGGCTGGAGCTATAGAGTGGCGAAGTCCCTCCCCTTCCGGTGGACCTCCATGGGACCTTATTTCGAAAAATTATGTATTGAAGTCAATGGAGAGAGAAAAATTATCTTTCGATCCCGTTTCAATTGTGCCACGAATTACACATATGATGTTTGTCAATTTAAAAGATGATTTTGCAAGTCAAAAAAATTAAAATGTGTCGTAAAACTGTGAAGTAACACATTTGTTTGTGTGAAACGCTCAATGAACTACATCTCTGGTCTCGCAGAACAACACACGTCACCAAGATGGCCGTCACTACTGTCTTGTCAACAAAACGATTGACTACCCTCACTATCACCACAATGAAACACGTCCAGAAGAATGTCATGCAAAGCTGCCTGCCTGCCTGCCTTTGATTCTCTCTGAACTGCCTGGTCTTTTTAGTGTTTAATGTCAACCATTTGTGCAGATAGCATGAAGTAGAAAAGATCTGCGATCGCCGATGCTAGCGTTAGCATTTCTCCCCCGGGCTTAATTGTGTATTATAGAATGATCACACCGGTGTGACAGTACTCTTCAAAGGGTTCACGAAATATGACTACTACTCTTACTGTTTAACATTTTGGGTTACTTGATGTTACTTCATGTTAAGGCTAATAAAAATGACAAGGCAGTAATGCTAACTAACATGCTAGCTACTAGCTAGGTAGCTAGCTTGATCCAGCCACTCCTGGTCCTTTCATCAGACGGGAAGCGAAAGAACGAGCAAGACCCATTGCTCGTATGATAACAACCTGGTACTAAGCACACAGGCATCTTGTTAAAGTTATCTTATCTTAGCCAGCGCCATATAGATAGATTATATCTATATGGCGCTGATCTTAGCTATCTCTTAGTGGAGGAAAACGATTGTGACATCACTTACGCGACTCTGGGATTTGTAGTCTTTCTTGTTGCGTATTTTTCATAGTCATATATTTCAACAGTTTTACGACAAACTGACTTTTTTGACATGGAAATTATTTTTTAAGATTGACAAACATCATATGTGTAATTCGTGGCACAATTCAAACGGGATTGAAAGATAAGTTTTCTCTCTCCATTGACTTCAATACATTATTTTTCCGAAATAAGGTCCCATGGACCGGAAGTAGATGGGCGTGACTTCGCCACTCTATTGGAGCTCCAACGAGCCGTTAAAGGCAGAGAGTGAAATTCAGTGAATACACGTAGTGTATGCTGTATGATAAACCAATGTGAGTTTGGAAAATTGCACAATATAAATCTATTCTAGTAGACCTCAACAATGGAATTATGATCAGTGGAAATGGCCATGACATGGGACCTTTAAGATGGAACCGGGACTTTAGTTACTGCTTTGTAAGTTTGCCAAAATGGCACTTTGACGTCGACCAGCACCTGACTGGCCAGCAGAGATGGGGTCGTTACTAAAAAAAAGTAATATTACATATTACTTTAAAAATAAGTAATATATTACACTACTTTGTTACTCTCTACATAGAGTAACTCGTTACTTGACTAGTTACTTTACTCGTTACTTTACTCTCAGGGCCGGCCCGCCCCTCCCTACAGGCAGATCACGCAGACTGCCAAAGTTTCAAATGTTCTCTTTAGTTCAGTTTCCATTGTCGCATAAGACTGATCCAGATAGCTCCTGAATGCTTTCCTATCTGACCGTGGCTGTCCTCTGTTTCCTGCTATCTGTATTTATTTTGCGCAGTATATCTCTGAACGATGGTGATTCCACCGTGCAAATGGGCAACATGTCCTCTACTATGAAGGATGCTACAAGCCGGTCCTCCAAATTCTAATTGTTGTTGCTTCGGGGTCGGCGGTGGCACACTCACAACATCCTCACTCTGGGTTCGGGGGTCCTTAGCTATTAGCTTCACCTTAGCATGTGTTCTTTGCAGGTGCTTGTTGAGGTTTGACCACGTGGTGTTTACAGCAGTGGATAACAGCTTCTGGCCTGGACACAGTTTGCACCTCACCGTCACATTCCTGTCTATTCTTCGGACGAACTCAAAGTGATGGGCATACCTCCACCCCTCGAGAGTTATCGCTGACTCAGCCATGTTTATGCAGCACTGCACGTGGAGATGTGGACGCGCAGATTACGTACATATAAACCTGCGGCGGAAACCCCTCTTGTCTGTCAGTGTGATTATGACTGATTTTAGTAAGTAACGAAGTAACGCGTTTCGGGGCAATGTTAGTAACTGAAGTGTGATTACTGAATTATAAAGGTAGCGCGTTACACTACTCCGTTACCGACAAAAGTAATATTATTATAGTAATAATAATAATAGATTTATTTTGTTAGCGCTTTTACAGGTGCTCAAAGACGCTTTACAGATATAGTGAAAAGAAAAGAAAGAAACAACAAATAAATATATAGTAAAAGTCAGTAACGCGGCCATATATACTAGTAAAAAAGCCATGGTGTGGAGTAACAACCTAGGGATTTCCTTGAACCAGATTCTCCCTGGGGGGAATCTGGATCTGAATTTCCTTATCAGATCGGGTCCACGTTTCAATTAGAAAATCTGTAATTGTAAGCTGAAAAATGTGTCTGTCGGCCTGAATTGTCCCAAACAAATCAAACCGTGAACTACATCAATTATCCCTCTGGAGTCCGGATTAAGGGTACTTTGCCTCTTGAGATTCAGGCCATGTTTTTGCCACAGAGCAACTTTCATAGGAACAAACGGGCTCCCGCCTCCATTGCAGTATCTAGTTCTCTTAATACTTCCCTGGTAAGAAGTGTCCAGCACTTTTAGACCGGTATAGGTGCACCATCCGACTACTCATAGTGTATTCTGCTATACTTAGCATTGGGACACACTGATCCACTCAAAACAGCAAATGTAAGTACAGAAGTAACAGCTTTTTGAGACACAGCAATAGTGGCAATGGACAATAGTTTTATATTGACCAATCAGTGCTAAATTCTACATGTCATTTTAATGTGTTCATTATTTTTATAGTCCTTTACTCATGTAAAGTTATTCAGTAGCAACTGTCACATTCAACCATATACACACTTGATATATATTGGCTTGTTTAACTAAAATACTCAGAAATGTTACAATATAAATCTTTTCCACTCCTTACTCACTGTATTCTAATAAAACATATTAATACCATTCACATTAGCAGCAACATCATCATCTCCAGCAACCAAATTTCCTACATCTCCATCATGGCCCTTCACATACAAATGCTGGAACCAAAAAGACACAGATATATATAAATATGTACACATCTATAATAAATGTCCACTATATTCTGCTGACACTTTCATCAAGCTGCAGTATTTGTGCTTTCTTAAATTTGACAGGATCTTAATGTTCCTCCTGACTGCTGAGTGCCTGCAGTCCAACAGCAGCACAGAATCCTGCATGTGACTAGCCCACAGCCACACCTCGTTCCTTCAGATGGCACTTGGGCTCTAAGTTAAAGAGAGCATGTAAACACTGGGCGAAGGAAAGCATGAGTCCGGTAAATAGCTGTTTCTGGTAAACAGTTGATGTTTTTCTCCAACAAATATACATGGAGTAGAAATGTGAGAATATGCTTCACTCAATGTAGAAATTCAACATGCAAAATGGAAAAATCTAAAGTTACAACAGTTGTAATATTACACTGTGTACACTGTGTATAAGTAGTGTTAAGGGAAACAATCTAAAGAATTTGTGAAAGAAGTAATAATGTTATATAAATAAGATTGTTAGGGTAAAATAAAAAAGTCCTAAAAGTATGAAAATGTGTTATTTTCACAAGGCAGTTGTATTATTACAAGACAAGAAATCACAATTATTATGAAAAGGGGTTTTAAGATTTGAGAGATTGTGTATTGTATTTCGGGGGAATATAATTGTATAATTATTTTAATATTAATATGTATTGTAGTAAACAGGTTAGAATAGTCTTCATATTAAACTGAGGGTTGTTGAAGAACTACATTTATAGCTTTCAAGAACAAAGATCTTAGTCTTTCTTTCTAAATGACAATACTAACTTTTGAATATTACTAAAACCCTTTCTATTGACATAGAAAACCATTTCCTCACAATATCATCCCTTTTTCTGTTACTTTAATTGTAATACTGCAATGCTGGGGGACGTGGTGAAAATGAACCAAACTGAAAGTTCTTGTGTATGCTCTAAGTTGGTTCAGAAGACTCACATGCTGCATGTGTCAATGTACAGTACAGTTACTACACAGACAGTTTATACAGTGCACATCTATAACACACAGCATGTCAAAAACAGAGCGCTTGTTGAACTACTTTTAAACACAAGCTGTGTCCCATGTTATTGTTCTTCATCACAAACACAATACCACCAGGATATACTGTTATTACCAAAAAGGGACACCTTGTAGCCCAGACACAATTTTCATTGTGACTGTGGGTTTAGTTTCCACTGTGGCCACCCACATTCATATGTACAAATGTGCATACACAGCACATTTACAGGTTTGAATGCAAATATCCATCTGATGACATGTGGGATCAATGTAATGTTTATATATTAATATTGTCACCTGTGTACAGTATGACAAAAAGATGAGCGCTGCACTGTTGTTGAGCAATGGGACAGAGCTAAGCCAGTCGAAGGGTCAGCACTTTACTAAGCCCATTATCCTTGAGCCTAGGAAGCAAGTGTACTACATTTTTCACATTTACGAATAAAAAGTGACAAAAAGTAAACACGTTGAATCAAACTTACCCCTCTTGTGAGCAGCAATGCCAAGATTTATGTCGTATTTGCCGGTGGGAGATCCTGGGCCGAGCTAAATATGTTACTACTCAAAAAAAGGGGAAATATAACTTTTTGAAAATAGGTCCTGATCAGCTCACGTACGTCTCCTTTAAAGAAATAACGCATTTTCAGTCAGCAAGCTGCTGGGCGTCACAATTGGCCAAATATTGTGCCCTTATTAACCAGGTGACAGGTTGCAGTTGGGTCCTAAATGTTTTTGGTCATCCGATTCCCTAATAGCTGACCCTCGGTGGTGGACAGATTTAACCAAACTTGCTCTCATATTTGTTTAAATATTGTTCTGGTCAAGAAGGACATGTTTTAAATTCCAGGTTTAGGATATGATTTTAACAAAAAGTGTATCATTCTTTGTAGGCCAACCCCAGAGTAGGTGGTGGAGTGTGAGTTATTATGGGGCGGGGTAGGGTAGGGGGAGCCGTTGGGCTGGGACGCCCAAACATCCCCTGCAACTGCCTGCTGGGGTGGTTGGGATGGTTCGGGTGGATGGGGTTTTCTTGGAAACTTTGAAAGTTTTCCTGAAAAAGGCTTTCGTTGTCGAAACGGTTACTGTCATCACAGATACGGTGGTTATTGTGGAGGTCGGGTGTGGGCCCTCGATCTGGGACATGGATGATGTGGGAGCCACTCTTCCTCCTCAGGGTTGACTCACAACTCGAAGAGGCCACGGACTGGCAGTCCGATCCACCGTCGCTGCTGGCAGCCGTTCCATCCACCGGAGTGACTCTGATGGTGGTGATGGCCTGAGGGTGGGGATGGAAGGGAGGAGCAAAGCTTGCAGGGGGGGGGTATCGTCATGTTGGAGTTGGTAGAGTTGGGGCTAAAGTTGCCAGAGTTTGGGTTAAAGTTGCCCGAGTTTGGGTTGTAGTTGGCAGAGTTAGGGTTGAAGTTTACAGAATTGGGGTTAAAGTTGCCAGAATTAGGGTTGAAGTTTGCAGAGTTAGGGTTAAAATTGGCAGAGTTTGGGTTGAAGTTTGCAGAGTTGGGGTTAAAATTGGCAGAGTTTGGGTTGAAGTTTGCAGAGTTGGGGTTAAAATTGGCAGAGTTGGGGTTGAAGTTTGCAGAGTTGGGGTTAAAGTTTACAGAGTTGGGGTTAAAGTTTACAGAGTTGGGGTTAAAGTTGACAGAGTTAGGGTTAAAGTTAAGGTGAATGTTATTAAAGTTGGGATTGTTGGGGTTAAAATTGGGGTGCTGAAAGTTGTTGGGGTTATTTGGATGTAAGGGATGTAAAGGGTGTACAACATGGGGATGGTTTGTGTATACACCTTCTTCCCCCCCTTCTCCTATTCCTCCACCCCCTCCATCTCCTCCCCCATCACTTTCCATTTCGATTCCTGTCACGCTCCTCCGGCCGTCCACTGACCCTCCGTCCCTTAGCGAATCACAGCTGTCTGTGTGTCTGTTCAAGTCGTCGAGGGGGAACGGCGACTGGCGGAGGGATGGTCGTTGATCGGGTGGTTTCCATCGCCAGGAGCCACTTCCGTCCGTGCTCGGAGGTTTCACCACAGGTTTGTTTGATCTGGACTCTGGGTGGGCATCGATACGGACTATACTTCCACTTCTTTCTAAACCTCCTGACAGAACAAGACAAATAATCAATAACTCAATAATTATCATCTACTACTAACCCTTATGACAATCAATAATAGCAATGATAATCATGATCTTGATTGTTTAAATCCATAACTCAATGGAGTGTTCATTCATTAGGTCCCACTCGTTCTTCTACATCTAGAATATTAAATTACTTAGGTATATACTTTATTCCCAGCATACCATTGCTTGAGGCACAGAGCCAACATTGATATCCATTAATCATTGGTTTCTGGAAAAGTAAGTTGTTACCGCCAATACTTAATGCTGAACATTTTAATATTTCTTGTTAAGGCAAAAAACTAAAATTAACAATTTGTCAGTGTGTCTCAAATACTTAATGATTTTATGACCTTCACTAACCAAAAGAAGGCCTACTCCTGAGCTTCACATCCGCTCTTCATAAACATCAGGGGGAAGTCACAGAGAATATGTCCATATTTGACTATGTTTGATACATACACAATATGTAATATTACCAGACATATCATTGGTAGCTCTCTTAATCAAATGCAATCTGCCTTAAACGTAGACAACTTGCAGGATAATGGTGGCAGAAAAGTTACCTATTCAACCCCAATCATTTTTACAATTGAATTGAAATCACTCTTCTATTTAGTGTTATACTACTTTATGTTGTTCTGCAATAACAGAATCTAAAGTCAAAGATGGAGGGCTTTTAAGACTACCAATCTTCCCTGTGGTTGTCATGATTGGTAAGCATAACAATTATTGATGTCATAATGCTTCACATATAGTACTACCAGCAGTACATACCTCCTCCTCCCAATGCTCCAGTGGTGGAAGCCGGCGGTGATGGGTCCTGGTCTGTCAGGGCTCTGTATCGAACGGATCCCCCGTCCTCGGACCGAGGAGAGTACAGCAGACCCTGCTGTTTGGTTAAGGCTATCACCTGGAATTAGAGGTTGACTGAATTATACAGTTTAGGAAAGACATTTGGATATGGATAACAACAAATTGTAATACAAGTCTTTATCTTGAGATACTGTATTTCACCAGAGTTCCAGTATGTTTGAAATGTTTAAATTGGCTAGTGATCTTGGAGTCGCTGTAAGTGCAGACACACTACAAACCAACTGCAAAACACAAACTGTAGGATTAACAATTGGCAAACCAGCAGTGGATTAAAATTCGTATTCCCGAAGTTAATTTGCTCACCCGGTCAACAAGGAATAATGAATCTGTAATCCATTACCAACAGGATGTGGATTGCAAAATTGGTTTGTGGATTTAGGGTAAAATCACAATTCAGGAATCTAGAGGTTGCCTACCTCTAGATTCCTGGCCAGCAGCTTAAAAAGCTCTCAGAGAATCTTAGGACAATCGAGATATGACCGTTTAAAGGAAGAGCTGGTCCAGTACGACCTGTTAAGAGGTCACTCGGGATATAACACATGGGGCCCAACAAAGACGGAGAACAAAAAATAGTCCATTGAGGGTGTTGGTGCAAGCCACACAGAGCGGTAGGCCATGCAGGCACAATACCTACAAATCCTATATGTTTCTCTAGCCCTTCAAGAAACAGACCCTTGAGATTTATTGAGATTTATTGTCCAAGTCCCTAAAAAACTAAGTGCACAGATCACTTATCACGCCGGTACCGGTCCATGGGTCGGTACCGGTCCATGGGCCGCACAGAAAGATTGAATACAAAATATATTTTTTGAATATCAGTCCGAAGTCTAATGTTTAAGGAAGACAGGAAAGATATATTCCGGCCGTGATTGGGTAATACTTTCAACTAAGGACACAGCCGTAAGTGGTGTCTACATTGACAATAGTGGATTTGAGCACGCAAAAATGGCGCATGTGAAAGGCGCCTTATGGTTACTGCAAATGTTGGTTTTACTCAGAAAAATTGTGCACTACAGCCCTGTATACCCCCATACATTGAAGGCCGGTCCGTGAAAATATTGTCTTACATGAAACCGGTCCGTGGCGCAAAAAAGGTTGGGGACCGCTGACTTAGGAATTTCATGACGGCCATGGCCGCCGTTGCCCATCGGTCTGGCCGTGATGCCCCGAAAATAATTGTACGTCCTACGGCCACCATGGCCTGTGTGCCCCTCACACTGTTAAAATCTCGGAGTTTCTTTAAAAGCGTAAGAACAGTGGTCTGGTCTCTGAACTGCATTATGCTGCATCCACACCGGACGCGATGCGAATATTCGCATCGCTCTAATCGCTCTAGTTTCACCGCGGCTGTCAGCTTTGTTTACTCCTGTCATTCAAATAGGACGTGCTGGTGAGGGGGCGGGACTTATATCCATGTAAATACTGTGGTAGAAACCAACTACAGCAAAATGAACATATTTTATCGTTATTTAATTGTAATACACGTTTCAAAATGATGCCGAAGTAACCACATACTGATAACGGTTATAAGACACACACACACACACACACACACACACACACACACACACACACACACACACACACACACACACACACACACACACACACACACACACACACACCAAAGTATTGCTTGTTCATACAGTTGAATGTTTGACCTTCACTGTACACTGCTGAATGAATTATGTGCAGAGTTTGACCCTTGAAGGCTGTTTCTTCTGCTCTGAAATTGAATATATTTGTTACATATTAATATAGTTTTAGATTTTTAGATTTTATTTAGGATTTTTGAATTGGAGAAGTTGTAGATCGAAAATATACCAAACACTAATTATTCAAAGTAGAGTTTTTCATTTTATATACGGTAATACTAAGGGGGCATAGGCCTATATGATTATAATGTTAAACATTATTGATATTAAAAAAGTGATTTGTTTTCCATGTCATTCGTGTTTGCTTATCAGAAAGTGTTATTAAGCTATTTATTTGTAAGCTCCAAATACACATTTTTCCCTCAATGGCCTTTGTGCCCTGGCATGTGGCCTTTGTGCCCCAACAAAAAGGTGTGACACCAAAGGCCAAATGGCCTTGCCCCTAAATGACGAAATTCCAAGCCTGCTGGTAACAGTTTTACAAATTGCTCGTGTTACCGCCCTTACATGCTAAACTCTTATTGTACTTTTGGCAACGAGAATTCGAGACGGTTAACCAGGGGCGCCGTAAGGGGGTGAAAAGTTAGGACGATTCTAAGGGCCCGTGACTGACAGGGGCCCCAAACATTTTTAGAACATTAAGAAAAAATGTTTAAGTAACCTTTCATCAATCATCAATAATTAACATTAATATAACGTTATATTGATGATGTACTCAATAAACTTATGATTCATTTCACTTTTTTTCTTCCAAAAGTTAATTATCCAAAGCCTCTGTACACCCCCCTCTATTTACATGTAATGGTTTGGTCCTGCCTCCAAACGCTGTGTGGCACCACACTTTCTGGCAGAGAGTGAGAGCATGTGAGCAGGGATGCTAGTACTTACGTGTGAACCATGTCTCAACGACTCACAAAGTCAGGCTTTCAAAAAAGAAAATAAAGGAGAGAAAGACAAGAAAGAGGGACTAAAGGGCGACAGTATGTCACCCAGTTTTTCAAAGAAAAGGTGGGTGTGGTGGAAATGAGTCTGTTAGCTAAGCTTAGTCCATTGTAAATAATAATTGTAATGTTTTGCTGACATTAAGTACTGTTAATATCTTCACAGAAAATTCAGAGGTTTTTCATTTCACTCCTCTTTTAGCTGACATTTAATAAATGCAGGTACATTTTTAGCAGCTATTCATACTAAATCAGTTGTCCCTCCCCTGGTGCCAGGACCAACAGATCCATCTTTAGGCTCAGCAGCCCTGTCCCCCCATAAGGCTTTGCAGTCTTGCCATGCTGTCCATTGAAAGCCAGTTGGCTAGAAAGCTGGACTTCAAGGACTTGATCAGTGACTTTGCCTGTAAGAAGGCTAGGCGCTGGGCTCTTGGTGAGTAAGGCTGAGCCAGGGCTTGTAATAACTGTTAAAGGTCCCATCTCATGGCCATTTCTACTGATCATAATTCCATTGTTGAGGTCTACTGGAATAGATTTACATTGTTCAATGTTCCAAACTCACATTGGTTTCTCATACAGCACCTCTGTATAGTATGTGTATTCACTCTCTGTCCTAAACGGCTTGTTGGAGCTCCTGCCCCCCCCCCCCCCCCCCCCCCCCCCCCCCTGTGAGCCCAGTGTGCTCTGATTGGTCGGGACGTTGCGAGGCTCGCTGCTCAGTGAGCTGGCTTACTGGTGTGGTTTCCGGGTCAGCGAGACAGCGCGAAACTCATCCTGAGCACACACTCACAGCCGAAGTAAAAACAATAAGTGTGGCTTTATATTGAGTAAGAAAAAGGTTGATAAACAGAAAAAGCTACATAACACACAAGGGGACGGGTAATAACCGGAAAAGCATGACATGGGCCCTTTAAAGGGCAAGGCTATGGTAACGATATTGGATCACTACACACAAGATGCATGATGAGAAAAAGACTGAGAACAGGTGATATGCTCTGATTTAGCACCACCATCAGGCCTTTTCACTTCCATTTCCGTTTTGTTGTCCATTTACACTTTAATACCCGCTTATTTTGTAGTTGGTATGTATATTTAATAAAAAAATCTGCTGCTAATGTTATTTTTTTATAGCATTTTATAAATGATAATATTGGTGTTAATGTTCACTTTATTTTAATTTACGAGGTCATATATATTTAAGTTACATTTATTTTGATTTATGAATGTTCCATTCAAAAATGTTATTAAAAAGGCATGTTCACCATAAGACTATTGAGATCTATTGTCAGGAATGTTAGTTATATCAAATAGTGAATTCTACTGCAGTAGAATTTGCAGTCTGCACAGTGTTATATGTTCACCGCTCAGTGTCAGTAAATATTGTGCAGTTAGTATTGGACTACAAGATAGATGCAAGCCTGTACAGGTAGAGTTATTTAAAGCATACATGAGTGGGTTGGGTTCTGGAGATGTGGTTACAGCAATTGTGCTTGGTTGGCGTGGCCCAATGTGATATATTTTCATGGGGCCCAAAATCCCTGGCGGCGCCCCTGCGGCTAACATTTAACCACACCTTGGAGCCCTTCTCTCCGCCATCTCCGCCGTGTGTTGCTGCATGTAGCAGCCGCGTGTGTGTAAACTGCCCCGCCCCCTCGCACACAGACGGGGGAGAGAAATCTCTCGTCTGGATTGGAAAGATCGAAAATACATCATAGACGCATTTTGTAGTCTGATTGCATATTAGAAACGGAGTTGGCGAAACTAAAACTGCAATATAATGTTTTTGTAGCAATAATACATATTATGACATGTTTTTTTAATGTCTCCAGTACCGAAAAAAGAAAATACCGAGCCCCTTTAATACCGGGGCTCGGTACCCATCCCTACAAATATATCACTGCTGTAGCAGCATGATTTAAACAAATATATATTTACTGTTGTAAATCGTTACCTTTTAATGTGTGAATATCTATATATGGATCTATTTATGAGTATATATTTATATATAGGTACAGGTGTGTATATACACATGTATGTATTTATGTTTGATATATTTGTATTATTTGTGATGGCTAGAAACAGCATTTCTATATCTCTGTCACACAGAGGAATTGAAAATAAAGTTTACTGTTTTTGATATTCTATCTGCTGGTGCAGGCAGAAAGACATAACAAGAGGTAAAGTTGGTGAAAAGAAGAATGATGAACCTGCATAAGACGAGGCTGTCCTCCAGCACTGAGCGGCCTGCAGGGGATGGTGGTCTTCTCGGCCACTCTCATCCACTTCTCTCTCACTGACCCCCCACCGTCCATCATGCTGTCCTCTGACTCACTCTCCTGATCCCTGCTCATGACGTTTTCCTCCTCAGGAATGTGAACCAGCTGCGAGGACCCAGGCCGGGATTGGATAGACACTCTGGCCCCACCAGCCATTCCTGTGCTGCCGTTATGTTGCAGGTGATTATGATTGGTCATAGGAACAGAGCTTGCCGCTAGTTTCATGTACTGAGCTGGGATGTGGCCCCCAGCACGCAGCTCCGTCTCCTGACAGCTGATAAGTGAAGGCAGGTGTGTTCCAGCGCGGAGCTCCGCCTCCAGGCCCATGGCAGAAGGCTCAGAGGAGCAGCGCAGCTCCATGTTTCTCTGAGGAGAGGAGGAGGTGCAAGGTCTGATTCCATCCATTACCTGCAGGGACAGCTTCCTGTTGTCGTTTTTATTCTTCCATTGGCTGAGCAGCTGTTTGGATCTGGTTGAATCCATTGATGCGTGGATGGCGGCGTGACGACGTGGATTGCGACCCTCCTCCAATGAGGAGCCTCCGTGAGACCTAGAGAAAGGGGCAAACAAACTTCATGATCAATAACACAGAAAACAATTGCAGCATAGCTATTAAATTGAAGCGTCATAGCAGTGTGCTAACCACAACCATGTGAGTTCCACAGCAGGATGTTGTCAATTAGCAAAGCTTCTTTCTAGAGTAGTTAGCACTTGTGCCTAAGTGGCTGTACAATGTGTAAAGTGGGACCTGCAGTGTGGCAGAATGACAGTCATGATGAAATCCCTCCTGCCCATTTTCCCCAAGCCCCCAGGAAGTGCGCCGGACTCAGATGAAAATATTCGTTGTGGCCAAACAGCGGTACTACACTTCCGTTTGGTTGCCAGGCCCGGAAACACTTTTTCCCATTGACTTACATGGGGAAAGAGTGGTCTGTAAATCGTTGTATAATGTTTTTTAAACTAAATAAACTACCCAGTATGAACACTTGAATAGCCCTTATTAAAAACATTCGTTCCTCAAGTTGTAAAAATGTGCTAATAACGTTATTCTGAGAGTTATTTCCCTCGGCATTATGAACGCGCATCTAACCCATGGGACCGCGCTGCCCGGCACGTTCAAGTTACGTGTTCAGCACTACATGCGTTTATCTTTACGCATGGATGCACAATAAGAATGGACCATTTCGCCTTACTGCCACGGAGCTGTAATAATGGATATATTGCACATGTTTGCTGTAATTCATAATTTGTAAAATATTATACTACTTGGGCTGTATGATTAAATCTTGTATTAAATAAAGTTAATATTGGCTTCACGAGGCTTCCGGTATGGGGTGTGCTGAATAGACGCGTGCTCGGTTGGCTCTAACTTTCCCACTCTTATTTACCTTTTAAACCTCGTCCTTTTTCAACATAATTTGTTTTCAACGGCTTTATAAGCCAGTGTTAACTGCAAAGACCTCCGGCAATGTCGAAAGCAAAGGGAAAACAAGCTGAAAAGGACAAAGGGTCTCCAGCTCCGACTCCTAGCATTACTACAGCTTCGACTCCTAGCATAACTTTGGCTGACATTAGCTTGCTACTGGATGGACATAGAGCAGCTCTCACGGCTGATTTCAAATCCTCATTCGAGTCTCTGACATCTACCCTGGACAGCATACATTCCACTATCACAGACCACGGGGCAGCGTATACATTCTCTGGAAGCTAATGCTAATGAAGTCGACCAACGTCTCCAGCAACTTGAGGACGCATGCTCCGCTTTGAAGGGGGACAACGAGACACTCAAAACTAAGGTAGCAGATTTGGAGGGACGCAGCAGACGCCAAAATCTTCGGATTATTGGCCTACCTGAATCTATCGAAGGTCCCCGTCCATCTGCCTTCTTCTCTCAACTCCTCGTTGATATCCTCGGCACGTAGATTCTTGCTTCGCCCCCCGAGCTTGACCGAGCTCACCGGAGCCTCGCGCCCAAGCCTGCCCCAGGAGGGAGACCGAGACCTGTCATCCTGCGCTTCCACCTATTCCAAATTAAGGACCTAGTGATCCGTGAGGCCCGCAGGCAGGGTGAGCTGAACTACAAAGGCCATAAGATCCGCTTGTATGATGACTACAGCCCCGACGTGTTAAAGCAGCGCGCCGAGTACAGAAGCCCCATGGCTGAGCTGTACAAGCGTGGGTACAAGCCGGCTCTCCTCTTCCCAACCAAGCTGCGCATCACCCTGCCTAACGGGGACCGGACATGGCTCATGTCTGCTCCAGAGGCCGTCAAGTTTGTTCAGGACTTGAACATAGCTCCGTAAGCAAGCTAACTGTCATGTAGTTACTCTGTGTTATATAACTGCTCTAGATGTACTTTAACTGTCAATTCAGACGTACATTGATGCAGTCCTATTCTGCTGTTAGGTTAACATTGTCTTTTTAGGCATATGTCCGGCAGGTTGCTGTAATGGCAAGGCTTAAGAGCTCTAAATATCCTGTTAAACCAGATGCACATTTCTTGAAGTGCTGTGTTTGAGGTATTTAAAAAAGGTTACATTTTCACTGTTAAAGTTCAATCATACATTGTTGTGGGAATTGAGCGATAGAATTAAGAATTAAGGAAGTAGCAAGGTATGCTGATCACGGTATCAGAGTGTTTGTTGTTTGTTTTTGCAACAACTGTGCTGGGATCCGGGTTAAGGGGAGGGGTGGGGGGAGAATTGTTTGTCCAATGTTTTTTCAGTTAGGTTTTTTATTATATTGTTTATTTCATGTTATCTTATCCTTTGCCTGTGGGCTGCTTCTACACTTAATATACTAAACTCGGTCTCACGCCACACCTTTTCTCTCCCTGTTGCTTGTCAGCGGGAGAGAGGTGCCAGGTATGGGGACAGGGACATGCAGGTACACCACCTGCCCAGTATCATTGTATGCTAAACTCTAACTCCTTAACAGCACCAAGTGGTGCTTTAAGATTTACTAGTTGGAATGTCAGGGGCCTGAATTCTTCTGTGAAACGTAACAATGTGATTAACCATCTAAAACATTTAAACACAAAAATTGCCTTTTTGCGAGAAACCCACCTCCAACCATCAGACCATCTTCGCAGAGGGTGGGTGGGCCAGCTTTACCATTCTTCCTTTTCAAGTAAGGCCCGAGGCGTTGCAATTCTTGTTCATAAATATGTCCCATTCTCTGTGTCCAATGTTATATCAGACCCAAGTGGCCGTTTTATTATCGCAACTGGCAAAATATGTGGCCCGAATTTTGACAACGAGGACTTTTTCAGAAATGTTCTTTTCTCCATTCCTGACATAAATTCCAGCCAGCTCATTCTGGGAGGGGATTTTAACTGTTGTATTGATCCTTCACTTGACCGTTCATCTAACAAGCCCTCTGCCCCATCTAAATCTTCCAAAGTTATCCAACTGTTCATGGAGCAATACGCAGTCTCAGATGTCTGGCGCTTTTTTAATCCTAGTGCCAAGCCGTTCTCTTTCTTTTCTCCTGTTCATGGTACTTTCTCCCGAATTGATTTATTTCTTATTGATAACAAATTGCTCCCCTCTGTTAGCTCATGCTCATACAGCCCTATAGGTATATCGGACCACGCAACTGTCATTGTTGACATCTCTCTTCCTGGCAGGTCCTTGTCACGTTCTCCCTGGCGCTTCAATTCACTACTACTTTCTGACCCGGATTTTATCAAAACTATTAGGAATCGCATTGACCTTTTTATTTCCACTAATGTTAACCCGGCTGTATCTGCAGCAACAATTTGGGAAGCGTGCAAGGCCTATCTAAGAGGAGAAATAATATCCTATTGCGCTTACCAAAGAAAAATCAACACTGAGAAGAGTATCTGCCTTTCCAGGGCTTTATCGGATCTGCAGACAAGATGTGTAGACTCCCCCAGTGCAGGTATTCTCAAAGAATTATTGACAAAAAAGGCTGAATTTGACATTTTGGCCTCAGAAGAGGCAACAAAATCACTTTTAAAAACACGCCACAATTACTATGAATTCGGAGATAAACCGAGCAAAATACTTGCCCACCAAATTCGACAATCCTCTTCCTCTCAGCACATCACTCAAATTAATACTGCTGATGGAATATCTATTAATCCTCAAACCATTAATGACAAATTCAAGGACTTTTATAGTTAATTATATACTTCTGAGAGCTCATCTGATGAGACACAATATGACAACTTCTTTAGGTCCCTAAACATCCCCTCCATTGACCCTGAAACATCGTCTGGGTTAGATGAACCCTTCACAGTTAATGAAATCAAAGCTGCTCTAATGTCGATGCAGAGTGTGAAGTGTCCAGGCCCTGATGGCTTCCCTGCTGAATTTTTTTAAATGTTTTCTGATAAGTTAACCCCTCTATTGCTTAACATGTTTAATGAATCGTTTCAATCTGGCACACTTCCCCCTACGCTACGTCAGGCTACTATTTCTCTTATACTGAAAAAGGACAAGGATCCTCTTCTTTGTGGTCATTTCCGCCCTATATCTTTGCTTTGTGCTGACGTCAAGCTTTTAGCTAAGGTGCAAAACGTTTAGAATCTGTTCTGACTACTATCATCTCCACAGATCAAACAGGGTTTGTTAAAGACAGACACTCTTTTCACAATGTCAGACGGCTATTTGACATATTATATTCACCCTCTTCTCCTGATTCCCCGGAAATTATTATTTCAATGGACGCTGAGAAAGCTTTTGACCGGGTAGAATGGCCTTATTTATTTCACACATTGAGAAGATTTGGGTTTGGCGACACATTTATTTCATGAATTAGGTTTCTATACATCCCCCCTAGCTTGCGTCCGCACAAATAATGATTATTCTGATTATTTTCCCCTCAAGCGTGGAACTCGGCAGGGTTGTCCACTTTCTCCTCTTTTGTTTGCCATTGCCATTGAGCCGCTGGCGGTGGCCCTCAGGTTCAGTCAGATGCAGGGCATCTCAAGGGGGGGAGTTGAGCATAAACTCTCCTTGTATGCTGATGACCTTCTGCTATTCATCTCGGACCCAGACAAATCTATCCCTCCAGTATCGGCTGTGCTGAGGGAGTTTGGGCAGATTTCGGGTTATAAGTTACATTTTAACAAAAGTGAACTGCTTCCCATTAACGCTGCAGCTACAGCCTACCCCCTTTCAAAGTTACCGTTTAAGACATCTCTGGCAAGTTTTAAGTATCTGGGCTTTTGCATGACCAAGAGCTTCTCAGATTTGTTTAGGTGCAATTTCTCCACTCTGTTGGTTCGACTGACTCAAGACCTCCAACGTTGGTCTCTCCTACCTCTATCTCTGGCTGGCAGAATAAATTGCATTAAAATGAATGTGCTCCCCAAATTTCTATATCTTTTTCAGTGTCAGTTTTCATTCCGAGACATTTCTTCCATTCACTCGATCGCTCAATTTCTCAGTTTATATGGAACAAGAAAACACCCAGAATTCGAAAAAACATTCTTCAAAAAACCAAGGAAATGGATGGCTTAGCATTGCCTAACTTTTTATTTTACTATTGGGCCGCTAACATTCAAACTTTATTGTCCTGGCG